AACAGATGACCATTCTGTAGTGTAGCGATTCATTCTGAATTCGTGAAATAAATAGATGCTACTCTTGCACCATACCACTGTTTGTGTTAAATTCGCCGCAAAGCTGGGATTCCCAGGAACTTCTGTTTTTATTTTACTGGAAACCTCCGTGCGTGGCATTTCACGCAAAACGGATAATAATTTCCCTTCATGACTACGTTCACAAAAGCACAGTATGCAAACCCATTTATTATAACTCACCCTGTGCACAAATTTAAAAGGTCTAGTGCATGATATGATCATACCTTCGTGACCACACAATGACAGTCTATTTGAGGTGTTCTTCGAAAGCAGTCACGACAATTAGAAAGTGACTCAGTAGAACTCTACCAATCGTTTACTTATAGATTCAATCGAAAACCAACAAAGTACAGTCTCTAGGTTTATGTACCATAAGTCATTGCTGAGAAACACGCAGGTGTGCATCGGATAGAATGTGCACAACGCAATAATTCGTTTTGTCTTCCTGAGTCTCGGTATACCAGCAGAGTAAGTTTGGAGGAGAAAACTTCGATGCTTTGGTTTTCAGTTATGAAAATCCATAATGAGACAAAATGTAAGCACATGGCTTTCTCGTTTGAAAAGTGTATATCGATTTGCTAACGCGAAAAACGAGAGACTGTTTGAAGACAATAACGTGGAGTCAATGTTGAAGCAAATTTTGGTCTCGAAGCATTTTCGACGAATAAACTTTTAATTTTTGAACAAAAATATATGAAAGCTCGTGACATACTATAAGGTGCATCATATCGCATATCATATCATATCGCAGTTGTCAAACGTAATGCCTGCTTAGTGTTTGGTACAAATAATCCATTAGTTTGATCATGCTTTTTACAGAATCTTCGAGATGTTTACAGTGAAAGCTATCTTACATTCTACCAAAATCACTAATACTATATCTGATTCCCCGGTAATCTGGGGTGAAATGAAGTAACTACGTTCCGTCGACTAACTTCAGTGATACAAATCGGTTGGTTTTTCTCAATCTGCTCTATTGTTTCTGTGACCACTTACGAAAAAAAGCCCAATTGATTGTCCATCATTAGCCCGCGGGTGTATAGTTTTGCCAAGTTGCACAACTATATAACATCATGTGCTTTCAGCGAACTGAGATGAACTAGTTCACTCACGAGTTTCCACTACATCGGTGCAAAATGACGAGTTCTTTAATCACCAAATATGCGCATTTATTAGAAACCAACAGGATAGGCAAACCTATGCTCTCTTTGAATTCCTTTTCGAGCGATTACAATCAGGTTTATATAGAATGAATTCAATACAGGTAAATACAAAGGAAAATAATTCATGCCATTGGTAGTGAGCCGGAGAGCACTCCAAATTGGTACGGTTTGGATTACAT